AAAATGGTTGATTCATTATTAATTAATAAAAAAGTTACTTTATTGTTTTCTAGTTGGATTGACAAACAACAAAACACATATTATTCAAATATTGAAAAAAGGATGCCTTATAGTTTTGAACTTCTTTTCAGATGCAGCCGAGATGGAAATAGTTCTTACGCTTTTCATCAAAAATGCAATAACCAGGGAGCTACTATTATGATAGCTAAAATTCAAAATTCTGAGCGATTAGTGGGTGGTTATAATCCATTGAATTGGAATTCAAATGATAGTTACGAATATACAAATGATAGTTTTATATTTTCAATGAGTGATCTCAATAATATTTCTGGGGCAACTATCGGTCGCGTTTATTCAAATGGTAGTTCTACTATATATTGTTATAGTGAATATGGCCCAACATTTGGAAATGGAAATGGTTATGATTTGCATTGCCCCAATAGTAACAATAATTGGAGTTGTAGTCAAAATATTTACAATAATGTTAGTCTTCCATCTTCATTTACCGTATCTGATTGGGAGGTTTTTAAAGTAGTGAAGGAATAGATATATATATATGTATATATTTTGTTATGAATTATTATTATAGATTCTTTTATTTTTTGTAATTTTCCAATTAAAATTATTAAATATTGTATTTATATCTGACTGATTATCTGTTACACGAAATGTATTAATAAAATAAGCGAATAACAAGAAAAATAATATTATTAAAATATTAGAAACAAGAAATAAAATGAGTTTTCGCAGAGTGAGGGGTTGACAGTTAAACAAAGTCAAGTTAATAAATTATTCTCGAAAATTGTAAATATTTTTACTTAGAGGTTGATTTAAAAAATGTAGAAAAAAAAAACAAATTATAATTTGACCAAAATAACATACAGTACGAGGCACCTTAAACCAGCAAATAAAATAAAAATATATTTGGAAACGAACATGTATTGAGATTTACCCCAATATTTCAATAATATTCAATAGATTGGAACATGAAATCTCTGGTGGTTGGAAGCAAAGTTGAAGTTGTACTTCTTAGACGTTTTAGACGTCTTAGGTAAGTAATTTATGACAAATATCATAGAGGTTTCATTAGTTCTGTATTATCAATGTTTAAATTATCGAAAACACTGTGTCCGCATATTTTTTTTTGTTTGCATGATGCCTTCTCTTTGACCACGACAATAATCAGTTTCAACTGTTCTTCCTATGCGGGAAATAAATGATGTGTTGTGTCTTGCATGCTAGAAGTTTCTTGGAACTTTTGATCCTCTTGGGTGACATCTCTTCTCCTTTTGTGGTTGGCAGCAGAACATAATGCATTATGTCTTGCCACGAAAATAATGTAATGATGGAGAGCAAATCTTTTACAATCTCTTCGGCTTTACTATTCTCAGCATTAACATTTGTACCAAGTATCACAAGCCGAGTTCCACTCCACAAGTTCGGATCCAAAGCAACCACCACTTCCTTGACTCCTTCCGCATGTATTCGTTCCAAAAGAGTAACAAACTCCCAATGAGCTCTTAACTTACTCTAGCAGATCTTGGCTTTTTCATGAATTGTTTTTGCCAAAAGCTTTATACATATCCGTAATTGAATAGTGTTGTTTTCCTTCAGGTGTACTAACAATGGCAACTCTTGCAGGAGGCGACTTACTGTGACAATGTTTCATGTCCCTTGCACTTTGTTTGTGTATTAATAAAAAGATTAAATGTATAGTATTATTTTGGATCTAAAAGTAGCAGTATATCCCCCACTTATTAACAAAGAAAAGTCGAACTCAGTGTTTGTAAAAACTGTATTAGTCATCAAGTGGGTGTGGTTTCTTTAAAAAGTAAAGTTTAAAATTATTGACTATTACATAAGAAGTCTAATATGACATAATAATGAGTAATTTATCTTTAAATGAATCTTTATAAATATTAGATTTTATCTTTTTTTTTTTTTTTTCTTGATTTATAAATGGAGAACGAAGGATCACAAAGGGGAATAGAAGAAAATACGGGAAAAGTCGATAAAAACACAACCACAATAACTGAATTCCCAAAACGCATATTGGAACCTCATGAAATAGAAAAGACATTTCGCATAATGGCATTCCGTAAATCAGAAAGACAAATTATTGGAAGATATCGTAAACGATCAATATCTCGTGTATTCTGGACAATAATGTTTATGATGGTATTTTTATCGTTGATGGGTGCAGGTTTTTCTGGAAGGTTGGGTAAGAATTTTAATGAAAAAAAAAAAAAAAAAAATTTTTTTTTTTTCAATAAAAATCTATTAATTCAAATTTCATAATTTTTCATGAATAGAAAATGTTAGTAATTGGAAAAGGTGGCCTGAATTTGCTATTTTGATTTCGTGCTTTGTGATAATTATGTATGTTTATTATAAGGTATTTAAAATTCTCAGAAAGATTATTTTTTTTTTTATTTTTTATTTTTTTTTATTTTTTTTTATTCAATTAATATTATATTGCTAAATGTTCTTTATTACTTTAGATAACTGAAGTTACAAGATGGTGCTTTTATTGGTACATTTATTTCTCGTCATTCTCATCATTCTCATCATTCTCGTCATTACTTCAGTCTCAAAAGTTTAGGACCATATATTAAATTTATTTAATAATGCATAGTAATTTTTTAATATTTTTTATTTATTCAAAATTTCAAAATGATCAGCAATCCGTGTTATGTAAATTTTTTTTTTAAAAAAAAGGATTTTCATATGTATTTACTAAGTAAATTAAGTAATTGGACCTAAACTTTTGAGACAGAAGTGTATATATTATGTTATGATGACCACAAATTAATTTTCAATACATTTCATAATTCAGGTTAGTAATTGCCACCATAATCCTCTTAATAATGAATCGTGGATCATTAATAAGTGAAAATTCCTCTGGTTTTGCAACAACCTATAAAAACCAAATTATCCTCGTTTCTTTTGGCTTTCTTGAGGCCCTAACTCTAATAATCTGGGCCATCATTCGATTTGCCTATCCACGTATAATAAGAGATGCATATTGGTTAGACACGATTTGGTGGTGGAGAATACAAAAAGCAGACATTAAAGACCTTGAAGGAGAGGTAGTAGGATGTTTTCGGTATTTTGCATGGGAAAGTTATAGTTTTTGTTTCAGGCATGGGTATATTGTTTATGTGGGGGAAGTGGATTTGAATGGGTTACCGCATGGTCATGGAGAGTGGATTGATGATTCTTTCGATGGAGAGTGCTTAAAAGGTAAATATAATTTGGAATAAAATTTTTATTTCAATTATTATATTTATTAATTTTATCAATTTTATCTTATCATCTTTTAGGTATTTGGGAACATGGAGTACCAGTTGGTCCATTTCAATCAAGGATTTCAGGAATGGGAGATGCAATTCATTCGGTTCGTGTAGGTTTTGTCAAAAAAATGAATACCCCTTGGGATGAATGGAGAATTTTTCCAAGACCTTATGAAAAAAGACTAGATATGGGTGTGGCATCTGTGGAGTGTTCTGTTTCTGGGAAATACTTGAAATATCTTCCTCGTTCAAGTTTGGTAATTTCACAGATACCACTTCGTAATCCTTCTAGTAATAATGACCTTGCAGAAAACTCTTCACGAGAGAATACATCAAATAATTTTTTTTTAAATAATTCGCTTAAACATTGTCTTAAAAACTTAATAACATTTTCAAGAGTTATGGAAAATAATTTAGGGATGAATGAACAAACTTCGATAACTATACGATTTGAAGATGATGAATTTAGAATAACAGGATATTATCCAATTAATGGAACCACTTCTAAAGATGAAGTAGTTGTGAAAAAAGTGCCGCAAAGAAAGTATTCACAACCGAGTGAATATGTATTAGAAATTGAAGGATGGCAACCATTGGGTGGTACTTTATCAACAAGTTCTTCAATGAATTGTGAAGAAGTTTGTAAAGGATCTCAGGTAAAAATATACATTTTATTGAGTCTTTGAGATATTTTAATATTTCTTTACTTTCTTTATTCTTTCATTTACTTTCTTTATTCTTTCATTTATTTATGTAAAGGAATGTATAATATTTATACATGGATTCAACTGTCCAACGAAATTCGCAATTGAAACTTTTGGACAATTTCTCGCCCTTGCTTATTTACCAGATTATATAAAACCATTTGTGTTTTCACCACCCGGTTCAAATTCATTCCATTATTGTGGCGTTAAAAGTCAAGGATGTAGTGAAGAATCCATTAATGGTATTATTATTATTTATTTTTTTTGTAAGATTTCCTGTAAAGATTATAAATGATTTAATGATAATAATAGTAACAATAGCTCAAGAAACCTACCATAATAATAGATTTTCGAAGTTTTTTACAAAATCTTCGAGATACGGGATTTTGTGCAGTACATATAATAAGTCATTCAATGGGGTGTATGATCGCACTTAATTACGTCAAAGCTTTTGAAGGAATAATCGCAACTATCGATAATTCAAAACGTGATCTTAAACCTGAAAATTTTTACCAATCCACCGATTCTTCTTTTCCATCATCATCAAAACAACGTAGAAATGAAAAACAAAATTCATCATTCATAACTGAAATGAAGCTTTCATCTGTAAACCTATTGAATCCTGACACCCCTTTTGACTCTTTTATAAATCATGATTATTCAGCACTCTCTAAATATTGTGATCACATAACAATCTACTCAAATTCCCAAGATTTCGCATTGAAAGTTGGTGAATTCATAAGTAAAGCCAAAACATTGGGCCGGCAAATTAATGATATATATTATAAAGGAAAATTAATGAATATTGATTTAATTGACACCACTCAATTAGATGTTAATATACATAAAATACGCCATAACTTTTTTAATTTGAATCGATTATTGGTAGATGATTTATGTGATATTATTATTATTGGAAAGCGTGCAAGAGAGCGTAAGTCGAGATTAAGTAGGAAAGTGAGAGGAGTTGGTCCTGAAGGAGTGGTTTATACTTTTCTGGTTGCACCAAGTTATGTTGTTAATAAGTAAAAGTCAATTATTATTAAGTAATAATGTATGTATTCGTTGGAATTTAGTAATACTTCATTATGGAAAACAATTTTCCAAATATATATTTCCTAATTGCTGACATTTATAATCTCGTGATTATCTCTTTTGAGAGAGAAAGGTAATAGTAATACAAAAAAAAAAACCAATTAATCCTTACTAAACCAAATGCATGAATATTGTGTTGTATCAAATCTTTAGCTCCTTATATGATTGAATGAGTTTATAAATGGAAAGTCAATCCGGAAAAACTCCAAAAATATGCTAAAAGGAGTTCAAAACCTTCATACCAAACGTATTTTTGTTCAGCGTATACGTCTAAAGGGTATGTGATAATGGCGTCAACATTTTACGCGGATGTAGCTGAAGATTTTAAACAACTTTTTGAAACTATGGAGGGTTATGATATTAAAATTTACGCTAGTGATGATTCTCAAGAAATTCATGCTCATTCTTTGGTGCTACGTACTCGCTCACCTTATTTTCGTGGGGCTCTTTCAAATGAATGGGTGAAGAAAGAAAATGAATACTTTATTTTTAAAAAACCAAATGTCTCAGCTTCAGTATTTAAAGTAATTCTCAAGTATGTTAATTTTACAAGTTTCTTTAAAATATCCACACTAAAACTTTGAATACTAAGCAATTTTTCACATTTATTAGGTTTATTTATTGTGGGATTGTGGATCTTCAGGAATGTGATGGACCCGAAATTCTCAAAATTCTAATTGCCTCCGATGAACTTGGACTTCAGAAACTTATTGATTTTATTCAGAAGTATTTGATTGATAATAAAGATAATTTTTTGCGTCAAGATCCTGTTGGGATGCTTTCCATTAGTACTCATCATGAAGGCCTCGAAAGTCTTAAAGAGTTTTGTTTAGAAACAATCGGCTCTGATCCAGATATTTTGTTTAAATCAAATAAATACTTAACTTTAGAAGAAGAT